AACATTTGGAGACAAAGAATTCTTTTCAGCTTCTATAACCATTTCAGTTTCATTGGGCATCTGACTTGTATATAATTCAGCACAATGTTGATTACATTCACCATCAGAATTTGCTCTTTGGTTAAAGTCATTCAAATTAGGCACAGACTCAAAGGTAATGTCAAGGTTACATTTCTGTTCAGTAGGTACAGCAGTTTTAAAGGGCTTTTTCTGGATGCTAGAGCCTATTTGGGAAAAATTTTCCTGGGCTTCCTGTCTAAGCACATCATGGTTGCTGCCATTCTTCAAAGCATTTAATGCATCTTCATTTTGATAGGATGTACAAAATGGGGGCTGACCAGGTTGACCATCTGTAAAATACAAGGATGTTGAACAGATATGCTGAGTATATTTAGCTTCTGTATTAGTCAACTGTACTGTAAACCTATTTTGCCAAGGAAATACTAATTTGTGGCATACTAGTAAGTAGATGTCTCATATTTTATATTTATATAGCCTCCCATTTTCTGAATATCAAAAAATCTGCAACTACTTTTCTAATTATTGATGCCTCTTTAAGCAAATGTCTGTTTTCTGTGCTTGGAAAACAGGTAACAACGAAGGAAAAAAGTGTATAGGTTTAAGAACATCTAATATTTACTAGTAGGTAAAACAAAAACAATTGGCTCCAACTATCATTAGTAGTAGAAGCGGTGATGGTGGTGTTGTTTCACCACATTGACTTTTTAACTTTCCGCCATTTCTACTGACCACATTTATCTGATATATTTTTAAAGGTTAAAGGGAGCCAAACACCCTGCATGATCAATATTTTATTTAACATTCACATATTGACTAAAGACCACCCAAATGCATGGTTATTAGAATACAATACAGAACATAAAGTCATAATAAAGCATGGAAAAAAGTGTAACAGTGTAGGAAGAAAAGACAATCTTTCTGCCAGTGGAACAAGAAGTCATGTTATAAAGGAGGCACTGTATGAAGTGATCTTGAAAAATAAGGGAAGTATGATAAGATGGAGTCCGAGCAAATGATGTTTCAGAAAATAACACAACACTGATATACTTAATAGAGTTCACGATTTAGGACAGAAAATATTAACATCAACAAATATGAACATACAGGTAAAACTCTGAAAAACCTATGCCAACTATCATAATTGGTGACACAAGTAAAATGACATTGTTATTGCCATAAATTCAGGGGAAGTAGTTTCTTAATGAATTGGAGGACTTTCTGAGAAAATAAGATTTCAAGTTTTGTTTTGTAAAGAATGAAGTTCACATGGTATACAATCTTCTAGACTTAATATACAGTGAGACACAGCCCATAGAGCTCAGCCTAAGAAATGGGAAAGACGGCACCTTTGGTGTTGGCAGAGAATTCAAAGGAGGAATGTAGTCTGAAATGATCCAAAACTAGTTTTTGGAAGACAAGATGTGAAAATTAAAAGCCATTAGGTTTATAGGGAATGGGAAGGGGTGACAACATTTAAAAAGCAGGTGAACAGAAAAGATGATTTAGCATAGTTTGCTGAAAAATAGAACAGAGGCAGCACTAAAAAGGCATAAAGTAATGATCGTCTCAGGAATAGTGCTGTGGAGAGTAGTGATTGAGAAGATGCACAAAAAGTATTTTTTTGTGTGTGTGTGGTGTTGTCAGTGTTCTATAATTTTTTTACTCAGGAGAGATTTAAGTGATTGCATTTGATAACTGAATAAGTCATTCATTTTTGTTGTGTAGTTCTAAATATGCATTGCATTTTACAATAATTGGTATATAAAAATTTTTTAGAAAATCTAAGATGGGCTTATTTTTAGTCTTTCTTCATTCAGTAAGTGGTTACTGTGGGTTGTGTGACATTCATAATCCATGAGAATATAGTAGGAATGGGCTGGGGTTCTGGCTCAGTGGTAGCGCCCTTGCCTAGCATGCACTGGGTTCGAGTCTCAGCACCACATACAAATAAATAAAATAAAGGTTCGTCAACAACTAAAAAAAAAAAAAAAAAAAAAAAAAAAAAATTAAACAAAACCAAAAAACTTAAAAAAAGAATATAGTAGGAATATAAACTAAAACATCAAAGATTCAAAACTGTCACCATAATATATAATCTCTACACAAATGAGATACATATGCTGAAGCCATCAGCTAACTCACTTATGAGGCTGAAGAACTTCTATCATATATAAACTTTGCAGATTAAGGATTAGAATTTGTGGCTTACTGAAATTATTTGTTATAGACTTTTGTCAACACTACTAATACTAAATTGTGTATGCCAAAATATCTACCGCATTATAAAAGAATGAATACTAAAAATTCACCTTTTAATCAAATACTAAGGATTTGGGAGTAAATTTTCTGAACGAAGAAAAAACTATTAATACAAAAATGACTTATGTGGTCATTTGAACAACTTCTAACATAAACAATATTTTCTGCCCTTGAATTTTGAGACTAATATTAACATTTTGATTTTAATCAATTAGTTCTTACCAGATTCTGTTTCAAATGAACTTTTAACAGCTAGATTAGTTTCTTCTGTTAAAACTATATTGGAATTGGTTTCTATATGCTGATTTGTAATACTCTGTGATATACTTTTATTAGTCTTTATTTTACCTGTTAAAAAAGGACAAGGAAATAATTAATGACAAAAATAAAACAAACATGAATTAGTACCATTTGAGTGTAGTCAAATGTTTAACTCTGATTTTAATTATAGTTGTTTTGGAAGTTTTTAACATTTTGCACTTTAATATGTAAAATGTAGTATGTAAAAAATATTTTCCCATGAGATTTTTTTTTTTGGACACAGGATCTCACTATTTTGCCTAGGCTGGTCTCAAGGAGTCCTCCTGCTTCAGCCTGCATTTGCCAGAAGTATAAGCAAGCACCTATTGAAGTATAGCCAAGAGCACCTGGCTAGGACTGGTAAGTTCTTAAACTTTAGATCAAGATCTTCTGGGAGGCCCCCAAATTTGCATATTTTACAAGTTCTTAGATAATGTTGATACTACTAGTTTGGGGGATTTCACTTTGAGAATTACTGCTCTAGATCATAGGATTCAGAGCAATGGTTGATATTTTGTATTCCTTTTGTATTTTTCAGTTGTATTTATCTGTATTGTAGCAGCCCTCATAACTTTCCCTCTTGACTAGCCAAAATACCCACAAAAATTCAGATTTCTAGCTGAAATTTTTTCAACTATAAACAAAAGACAACAGAAACCCCTTTACATATCCATGCAATGCTTGCTTTAATGAAACAGTAACTTTTTCAAATGCTCTGTGTAATGTTTCTTCACTGGAGTTACCAAAGAAACAATAGAGAAATTTTTTATCCTTCTGTCTTGAAAAAATTTTCTACTTACCATAGTCAAAGAGATCAAAGAGTGCCTGAAATGCTGGGTCTGATTCTGTCTGTTCTAATATATCCTGTATAGCTTCTTCAGACATATGGATTTCACTCTGCAAAAAAGAATGAAGGCATGATCTTAATTGAATAATATGAATTAATACCAGAAAGATACTTAGCAGACATCTGATATCTTGCTGTTTTATGTAGAAGCATTCCCTTTCAAGAAAATCTAATTGTAATAATATGCTCACTTGAAATGAAACAAGACTAGAAAATAGAAGGTCAATGTTCTTTAATTCTTTTTCCTAGTTAATCTCTTTGGAGAATATATTCCTGAACATCAACATAAAATGAACATAACTATGTAAAAAGAAAAATAAAATCAAATAATAATATTTTGTAATTTGTTTCCTTCACATCAATTTACTATAAACTTTATAGGTTCTTCATAACAAATCTATCTCACTCCTTTTGTCTACTTTGGTCTCTTCATATTAAATGTTTTATTCAAATGTTGAACAATCTTTGCTTATCTCCTCACATTGAAAATAGCATGCCAGAAGTCACCGGTAATCTCTGTGCCAAAAGGGTGAGGCTGTGGTATAAACTTCTCAACTATAATCTAAGCTGTAAATTAATCTTACAAAAATACCTGTATTTTTAGTTCAAGTTTGTTTTTAGTACTGGGGATTAAATCCAGTGGCGCTTAACCACTGAGCCACATCCCCAGCCCTTTTTGAGACAGGGTCTTACTAAGTTGCTGAAGGCCTTGAAAAATTGTTGAGTCTGTCTTTGAACTTACGATCCTCCTGCTTCAGCCTCCCTAGTCACTGGGATTACAGGCATGTATCACCATGGCCAGCTAGTTAGTCAAGATATTTTGATGGAGAATTTATGACTAGCATTAGTATTTCTGGAAGAGAGCAAGGAACGGAGATAAGGAGTTTTATTTCCTAGATTTTGCACCTCATCTTCCTGTTTGTAGTTTCACATTTACATTTACTTTCAGAGGGGCTGCTGCTACTTCTTGAACCTCCTGGGATTTCTAGGTTGTAAATATGCTTTTTTCTGAGCTTTGTCTTTATTGAGAACCCTGGGTCTATTAAGTCAGGTACCACATGTCCACTTTAGCTTCTAACAACTGTTTTTCTGTTTTGTCTTTTGTCCTTGGGTTTAAAAAAAAAAAATTCCTCTATTAGTTCAAAATAAATAATTTAAATCTAAATTTTAAAGTTTTCACAAATATGCAATATTATGAATGACCAAAAACTGAGGATCGTGTTTCTTTTTTTTTGGTACTGGGCTTTGAACCCAGGGGCACTTTACTCTTTTTTTTTTTTTTAATGTTGAGACAGAGACTTAAGTGGCCCAGACTAGATTTGAACTTGTAATCCTCCTGCCTCAGCTTTCCCAGCAGCAATTACAGGTATGCACCACAGTGGCTGGATGTGTGTGTCTTCACTTCATTATCCCTCATAGTATGTAACAGTCATGAATATGGGTAAGTATCTGATGTACTGGTGGAGAAAATAGTAAAGATTTGGAGACTATAAAAATTTAAAACAGGGCTAGGGTTGTAGCTCTGTGGCAGAGGGCACTGGGTTTGATCCTCAGCACCACATAAGAAAATAAAATAAATCAGCAGCACATATACTAAAATGGGAACAATACAGAGAAAATTGGAATGGCCTCTACACAAGGATGACATGCATATATGCGAAGAGTTCCATATTAAAAAAAAATTAAAGAGGATATATGTTAAATGTTAAGATAGAAGAGGATTTTTAAGAAGTAGTGATAGAACCGACATGGGTGGTGTGGTGGTGGTGGTGCATCAATGGTTTTACCCAGAATTCACTAACTGAAAGAAGACCTGTTATAACAAACTCACACAGGGAAGTCAATAAAAATCTTTACATTGTCCAATATTACAAGTAAAAGCATGTGTCTCAATTGCCTCTTCAGAGAGCACATTCCCACATGAACAAGTTTTACAATATTTACTATAAAATTCCTCCTTTACCAACTCATCTTTTTATTTCACCATCACTGAATAGTAACAGTGACTGCAGACCCTCTATTTCTTCTATTAGCAATAAGCATCACACAACTATTCATCTGGTTAGTACATTTATTTTTTAAAAAGTGTTTTATACTTGTATCCATTATTTAACTTTAACACACTACCCTCACTGTTTCTTTAAATTATTAGAAATGTAACAAACACCATATAGTAAATGTAATAAACAAGTATTAAACACAAAGATAAATAAATACTAGTAAATTTTTAAGTATTAGATACTTAAAAATCCAAAATTGATTTTGTTTTATGTGCTTAAGAGTGTTTTACTGGTATCTGGTAAAGTTGATTAGCTACTAGATGGGTTAGAAATATATTATTACTTTTATTACTTAAGTAATAAAATATAAATATAAACTCACTCTGAAAATTCACTATCCAAATGTGTTCAGACACATTTTATTTGGGTAATAAAGCTATATCTTAATTTTAAAAGATTTTTTTTTATATGTAATCTTTTGGTAATAAAATACTATCAATTTTAACTATGAATGTATGTACTACTACTACTATTACTACTACTACCACTACATGTGCTCACGCACACAGCTAAGTTTTGCTGTGCTTAGCAAAACAAGGAGTTCTGTGAGAAACTATAAACTCTTTGAACTGTGTCCTTGTTGCTGTCTTAAGAAGATAAAAGAATTATCTGCCAAGTGTAAAATTTATATACACACACACACACACACACACACACATACATATATATACATATATGTTTGCCAGGGAATAACTAACCACAAGTTAATTGATAAGAAATACGGAGCACTGTGACCATAAACAAAGTTTTCCTGAGAATGTTTATCCATGCTTGTAAGGATTAAGCTGCTGAAAGGATGTTTTTTTTTTTTTCCCCCTTGTTTTAATTAACAATGCTGTATAAAAGAAGGAGAGAAAAAAGACGGTGCTAATTTTCTACTGAATGCGTGTGTGTACGTGTGTCTTTCTTAAGCATCTCTGCTGTACCAGGAATTATAGATTGTCAGTGGGTCTGACAATACTACACACACACACACACACACACACACACACGCACACGCACACGCTCTGTATCTACTCATACCGGAAGTCCCAGGAGTTCATCAATTGAAGTCTCTGGTTCAGTAGGGTTGCTATCTGTTGGCTTAGGTACTTGAGCAATATTATCACTGAAAAACAGAAAATATTGAGCATATGTTATGGTTTGGATTTGGAATGCCCCCCCAAAGTCTCATATGTAGAAGGCTTGGTCCCTAATATAGTAATGGTCAGAGGTGGGGAATCTGTGGAAGTGATTATTCAAATGTTGAATAATTTTTGCTTATCTCCTCACATTGAAAATAGCATGCTATTTTCTGATCTCATCAATGGATTAATTCATTCAGGGATGCTCAGCTGAATGGACTAGTGGGAGGGGTTGGAAATCATAGGAGGTAGAACCTAGTTGGAGAGAAAAGTCCTTGGGGGTATGTCCTTGGAGGCAATTTTGTCCCAGTCCCTTTCTTTCTGCTTAATGGCCATGAAGAGGTGAGCAACTCTGTTTTGCCACGCCCTTCCACCAGAATGTACTATCCCACTATGGGACCAGAAACAATGGAGCCAGCTGAACATGGACTTAACCCTCTAAAACAGAGCTAAATAAACTTTCCTTATTTGTTTTTCTCAGGTATTATGCCACAGTCATAAAAAGCTGACTAGCACAACAGTTATGCAATTAGGCAAAAACTATTAAGGATTTTAACTGGTAAAAACTTACTTGGTCAAAAACTTATTAATGTTTTCTGCTAGCTTTTCTTGAAGAGATTTGTTGCTTAATATTTTTTCTCGTGCATTTTCAATAACCATTTGCTGAGGGAAAAAAAGTCTGCATTAATAAAGGATAGTAAGGAGTATTGTCTTACTTATTTTAAAAAACTAATCACTGGAACTAGGAATGCTGGTGTATGCTTATAGTTCTAGCTACTGAGAGGGCTGAGGCAGAAAGAGCAATTAAGCTCAGGAGTTTGAAATCAATCAGGGCAACATAGCAAGACTCTCTCGAACAAAATGTAGAACAAAACACTAATCATTGGAAGCTGGGTTGTTTTAATACACCTAAATGGAAACTCAGGATTTGTGGTGGATCCCTTCATATTAACATAACATGCAATAATTTGTGTATTTTTACAGATCTCTCACTATCTTTCTTCACTGCTTACAGGATATCCTACAGTTTCACAGTCTTTATCATATGAAGAATAACTTGATCCCAGAAAATGCAGTATTATACTGCATGATTTTAAAAGAATTTACAATTATTAAACATACCAACATTTCTTATTTGGAGCATTTGCCTATGCTATCTATTCTGAACTTATTGCTTCCTATCCCAAGACAATTCCACTGCAGTCTTATAGTGCACTCTTATAGAAATACTGTATTTTATTTTATTTTTTTAATTTTTTATTGTTGGTTGTTCAAAACATTACAAATTTCTTGACATATCATATTCCACACTTTGATTCAAGTGGGTTATGAACTCCCACCTTCACCCCATACACAGATTGCAGAATCACATCAGTTACACATCCATTGATTTACATATTGCCATACTAGTGTCTGTTGTGCTCCGCTGCCTTTCCCATCCTCCACCATCCCCCCTCCCCACCTCTCCCCTCCCCTCCCCTCCTCTCTCTCTACCCCCTCCACTGTATAACCCTGAGGGTCTCCTTCCATTTCCATGCAATTTCCCTTCTCTCTCCCTTTCCCTCCCACCTCTCATCCCTGTTAAATGTTAATCTTCTTCTCCTGCTCTTCGTCCCTACTCTGATCTTAGTTACTCTCCTTATATCAAAGAAGACATTTGGCATTTGTTTTTTAGGGATTGGCTAGCTTCACTTAGCATAATCTGCTCTAATGCCATCCATTTCCCTGCAAATTCTATGATTTTTGTCATTTTTTAATGCAGAGTAATACTCCATTGTGAAATACTGTATTTTAATTTATTTTTTTGTAGATGGACACAATACCTTACAATACCTTTATTTTTATGTGGTGCTGAGGATCGAACCTGGTGCCTCACACATGCAAGGCACGTGCTCTACCACTGAACCACAACCCCAGCCCCTGAAATACTGTATTTTATACTCATGGATACTATGTGTATGTTCATACATAGGCATATATACTCATACACATATTTGCATATATCTCTTTATACACATTTGTATACACATCAGAATTTTTAAATTCAGGAATAATTCAAGATGCGAAAATTGGGAAGATCACTTACTTTTTCTACTGCAAATGCATTTGGATCCTGGAAATTCCGTATCGTTGAATGAGGCCCTGACAAAGTGACACTTTTCCTTTGAGATTCACTGCAACACATTTTAAAAGCTTGTCTTTTAACTACTGTGTCTGACAGGTTTAATAATTATATGAATAGACATAAATTTTAAGATCATCATGGTAGAACACATTTTCTCTCTTTATATAGAAACAAAAAGCAGCAAAGTATAAAGGGCATTATCACACTTAAACTCAGAAGAAATAAATTTTGAGGCCTTGCTTCACCATTTACTATCTACATAATCTTAAGCATGAAATAAGCTCTTATCCTCTCACCCACTTTATACTGAAGTTAAGACCAACTACATTATTGGATTTACAGAAAAATGAAATGAAGTAAATTATGTGTGTAGACTTCATTTAAAAAAAGCCAAGTTTTCTCTCTTAGAAATAGTTATTATTTTATGTGGTTAAGTGAGAGAGTTTATAGTAAATAAGCCTAGCAATAAAGGAAGCTTGTGATAAAGTAAATCTTGAATTAGAGATAACAAGAAAAATACCCATTGATGGATTGATGGGCAGGTGAGAAACCGGGGGGAGGGGGGGGGGGGGTCTTCTCTCTTTTTTTCTGAAATATTCTTCAAAGAGACACAGGCTAGGCAATAAAGAACTTTTCTTGAAACTTGTACCTGAAAAGATTCCATTAACTGACTTAAAGTTCTATGTTTGTAGATAAACATATTGCATTGTTTATATTCATCTAAAAAGCACTTGTTTCAAAAAAAATCTGAGATAACATCAACTATAAGACATATCATTATTTAACATACCACTACCAAAAAACAAAACAAAAAAACTCCAATGAAACAATAATATGGCACTGATTAAAGGATGCAACTTAAGTTCAATAAATTTAGAATGTGAGAAAAGGCAACATGTTTTAGAACATGTTTTAGATATAGTAGTACCCAGTCCCAAGAACTTAATAGTCTTGCTACTTTATACACAATAGAAATATCTTGCTGTAATTCTTTGTTTCGATATACGCTTCATAAAAGTATTTACCTTTTACGTCTACCAGGAGACATTAAACTGGCATGAGTTTTCCTTTCCTGAGGGCCAGGAATGATGTTTAGAGCCTCTCCAGCTGTATTTAAACAACAAAACAAAACAAACAAAAACCCCAATAAGCTAGGGAGACTAAACTTTTCTAAACCTGAAATGGGATAAGAAACATTAAATATTGATTTTTATTTCATATTAAATTCTGTAAACCTCGTCCTTATGCCTTAAGGTTCTACAGTAAAATACAAAGTACAATATAATCACAACAAAAAACACTGCAGAACAAAAAAGTGTGAAGTATAAACAAAGTGTTCTGAGTATAGAAAAGGATTTGGAGAAAAG